TGTGGAGAAAAGGGAACCCTCCTACACTGTTGGTGGGAATGTAGTTTGGTGAAGCCATTATGGAAAACAATATGGGGATTACTCAAAAGACTAAAAATAGACTTGCCATATGACTCAGCAATCCCACTCCTGGCCTTATATCCAGAGGGAACTTTAATTCAAAAAGATACATGTACCCCAATGTACATATCAGCACTATTTACAATATCCAAGACTTGGAAACAATCTAAATGCCCATTGACAGGTGACGGGATAAAGAAGCAGTGGTATCTTAATACACTGGAATATTACTCAGCCATAAAAAATAATAAAATCGTGCCATTTGCAGCAACACTGATGGGTCTGGGGAATGTCATTCTAAGTTAAATAAGCCAGAAAGAGAAAGAAAAACAACATATGACATCACTTATATGTGAAATCTAAAAAAGAAAAGAAAAGGAAAGAAAGAAAAGGCAAACAAACTTATTTACAAAACAGAAACAGACTCACAGACATAGAAAACAAATTTATGGTTACCGGGGGAAAGGGATAAGAAGGGATAAATTTGGAGTTTGAGATTTGCAGATACTACTATATATAAAAACATAAACAAGTTTATAGTGGATAGCACAGGCAACTATATTCAATGTCTTGTAATTTATGGTGAAAATGAATATGAAAATGAATATGTGCATGTTCCTATATGACTAAAGAATTGTGCTGTACACCAGAAATTGACACAGCATTGTAAGCTGACTATACTTCAATAAAAATATTTTTAAGAAAAGAAAAAAAGAGATCTCAAATCAGTAACGTAACTTTAAACCTAATGGAAGTAGAAAAATGAAAACAAATTAAGACCAAGTTTAACAGAAGGAAGAGAAACAAAAGATCAGAGTCCTGGATAGGTACACCTCTTCTATGCTTCTACAGTATCCTCTTCTGATCCTATTAGAGCCTTAATCCCACTGTGCTGTAAACAATAGTTATTTTTATGGCTCATCCACTAGACTCTCAGGTGAAAGAGGCCAGGGGTTGCGTTTTGTTCACCTTTGTATTCCCTAACATCTAGCACAATATCAGGCACACAGAAGGAATTTAACAATTGTTTGTTGGATAAAGGAGAGAAAGTGTCAGGTGTTTTATAAACATTTAATTTCATAAAACTATATATCTTAAGGGTCTATATTACTTTTCCATTTTATAAAGAATGAAACAAAGACCCAGAGAGGTTCAGAAACACGGTTAAGGCCATACAACTACTAAATAACAGAAGGATTCCAACTTGGGTCTGTGTGACTCCATAAGTATGCATTTTTGCTAGCCTTATGATCTTTGGACTCTAGGCCTCCCAGCAAGCTTTCCTTGACCATTTTCCATGTTGTGCAATGTTTGGAAAGAATGTATCTATTGGCTGGAATGCATGACCATATATGCTCTAAGGAGCAAGGCCTAAAACTAGTAGGAAATCTGTACTTTTCCAGACAAGGAAGAGAAACTGTGGACTGTAAGTCAGTTCAGAAGGACTTGGAAATGTGGCAGTTTGCAGGGCTTAAGAGGAAGCCTCATTTTAAGTTAAAACATGAGCATAGCCTAAGAAAACACCTAAATGCATCATTTAATTAAGAACTATTATGTCAGAACATGTGCAAGACATTGAGAATATCAAGATGAATCAGTTATGGTTCCTGCCATTGAGAAGTTCAGTCTAGTAGGTGAGACAATTAAGACCACAGCGTCAATGTAGTGTTGAATCAGTTATTATACTACCATCTCTCAGCCCCAAACCAAGCATTCAATACCCTCACTTTGTGATGGGAAAGTTTTCCTAAGTTAAAACTAAGTTTTCTTTTGCCAACTGGTTTCTTCTTAGATTCTTCAAAGACAGGGCCCTAGAGACTGGAAAGCAAGGCAAAAAGTGAAGAGATTTGTTTCCTCCACTTTGTTTGCTGCTCCTGACAACATTACCTCAACAATGGCCTTTAATCCAGGCAACATAGTTGATTCCAGCTTTCTATTTCTTTCCACACTATAGAACCAGCCTTACTACACCTGCTCAGAAGTACCAGTATCAGTCAGTTGGCAACTGCTCCTCACAGGTTGGAACCACAGCTCTACAAGGTTTCTTCTCTAAGCTTCTGAGATAGCAGCAGCAGCCAGGCAGCACCCTCTTCACATATGTCTGAGTCCAAGTTCTGTAGGCATATCCTTTGAGTTTCTAAGGTTCTAATAATCCCAATCTCTTTTCTTTGTTCTCTCAGACTCAGCGGTGGCAGTTGGTTCCTGCAGTCATTATTTCTGTGTTATTCTAGTGCTATGTTTTTTGTTTTTTCATTCTTAAACATCTATTTCAACAATTCCATGTTTACATTCTTTGTTAAAATAGTGTGGTTTCTGGACCCTGAATGAAACAAGTGTGACAAGTACACAATGTGCTCTTGGAGCGCAAATGTAGATGCTTCAAACAGGCTAAGATGATGAAATAAAGTGGAACTGAGACCTAACCTGGGTTCTAAAATATTGCCAGCCAAATATAGAAGAGGTGGGGAAAGGGAAGATATTCCAGTGAGAAGAAACAACATATGTAAAGTTATGGAGATAGGAGAGAGCACAATAAGTCAGCGGAAATAGAGTAGTTCAATATGACAAAGGAATAGAATATAAAAGAACAGAGAATGCTGGCATAATGGGAAATAAGGAAAAAGAGCTAGCAAAACTTTTAAATTAATTAGGGTTGAGTGATAGTCTTTGGAAAGAAGGGAAGAAGTTGGAGCCCATGGTTATAGTCAGGTGTCTTACTTCTGTGACTGGGTAGAAGAATAGGTTTGGGAAGAAGGTGATAAAATGGTGAACATTTTCTGATCAGTTAAGAGTAGAAAGAGGAAGCTAGGAACCAGCAGAATTATAGTTTATATTCCCTCCTCCTATTTCATAGCTGTGTGACTTTAATCACTGAACTGCCCTAAGAATAAGTTTTAGTGCCAAGTAAATGAATAGTAATACAGTAAAACTGTATAACCATAAGGTCAGATCCACTTACTGAGCTTCTCTTGTAACAACCATAACAAGAGTAATAGCTAACATGGAGTGATTGATTTAAGGTTCTATGCTAGATGTCTTACTTATGTATTTTTTTCACTTTACTGCAAATATTCTTATTTCAAGTACAGTAGAAACATAATTAGGGTAATAAAGCAATTTTGAGTGTTTTAAGATAGGAATAAACACTGATGTTACACATAGGACAAATAAACTTCATAAAATTATTTCTGAACATCTCTTATAGAAGCATCCATGTCTTATCTCTCTCCATATCTTCAGTCTCTGATAGCCACTGTCCTGCCCTGCTCCTCCAATCCACCCACCAGCAACCTCTGCAGTCTCCTATTCATAGGTCCAAATCATCACTTTCCACAAGGACAATTTAAATCTGTCAAAACTTTAATAGTATCCTTACACACAGAAACAAGCCCTGAAACAAAAGACATCTCTCCTATGAATCACTCTTTAAAAGGTAATAGAGAAATAAAAATAGCAGAATTGGAGTCCTTCTCTTTCTCAAATATTTAAAGACATATTCTATCAGTAAATGAACCCCAAATTACATTTCAAATAAAAACCCAGTGCAAAATCTGGGGAAATATTTCTGGGATGAAGAGCTGCTGAATGTGTTAGAACATAGGACCAATCCATAGAAAAAGGAAAAGGGCTCGGGAGAATTCCTAGAACAGAAAGACTTTATGTACTTCCTTTTTTTGGGGGGGGGGTTTACATGGATCATTGCTCTGTCACATACTAGCTGTATGACCCTAGGAAAATAACTTCTCTGGGTCACAGTATTCACATCTATAGTGAAGTAACTAGTATAATGCAAATCAATTTGATGTACTACTTGTAGTTCATAAATGTGTTTTAAATGTTTATAATTTCACAATGTGATTTTTAAAATTTTATATACATATAAAAATAATAAACATTAATCAAATAGAGTAGGGAAACTAAAATGGGGAGTTCTCATGCTCTGCAACCACAGTAGAGCCCAACAGTAAGATGAAAGACTCTTCTTCCTGGCAAGTACTCAGCCAAAAATAAGCCACAGACTCTTTGCTTACTATAGCCCTCCAAACTCCCTTTTCCTCTCTATAAAAGTGTTTTCTCTTTCCCTTGCCAAGTGAGGAACTTGCACTTGGCTCCCCATGGTTGCAGACCTTGAATTGCAATTTTTTCCTGATTCCAAATAAATTCACCTTTGCTGGAGAAATATCTGGCTATCTGTTTTAGGTCAATATACAGTAACTGTGTCACATGATAGTAGTTTTCAATTTTTTGTATTAATACACATTTTCATTTAAAATGATTGACATATAAAATAAGTGATTTAGTTTTATTAAGTATATTAGTTAACAAAAACAGAGTTGCTGTGCAAACAAGACAGAAATCCTAAAGATGGCATATGAATGATGGAGATCTGGGAAATGCCACCTTATGTCATGGTACAATAAGAACTGTTCTAGACAGTGCGTAGAATGACACAGGAAACAAATCCAAGTTTTATCCCTTTAATACCTCATAGCTCCCTAAAAAGGTTTACTTGGCAATTGAGATCTAGAAGTTCCACATATAATACCTTTAAAAAATACCTTCTATTATACAAAATCTACATTGAAAAATGTGGGGTGAAAGAAAGGTTCTCTTATTAGAACCAAAGGCTCACTTATTTTGTAAGCATTTGATGATGATGTCTACCAAGTTTCAGGCCTTGTTCTGGATATTAGATATGTAAAATCCAATGAAATTCATTCCTTACCATCAAAGATGTTACAGTCAATAGAGGGCAGGAGGAGGCAGATTATATAAATATAAATGCCCAACAAAGGGTAGAAAGTGCTGAATTAGGAGTCAGGGGAGGTCCAAGTAGGAAATCAAAGGAAAGAAACAGGGGAAGAGCAACACAGGAAATATGCTAAGCTGGCATGTCAATAGAAATAGAAGGAAAACCATGAGAAAGTAAAAATATTCACCTGTACATGACAATTCCATTGATCATTGAGTTCACATCCTTGATTCTGTTGATATAAGCCTGAACAACATCTATGCATTTCACCTGCAAAATATAATAATTTAGTTAGCAGGTATTTATTTATTGAACAATTCATCCATTCAACAAGTACTTAACGAAAGTTTGGTATGTGCATCAACCACTTTTTATTTGGGACATCTTCAGTGAATTATCTAGTACAGTCCACAGTGAGGAGATAAAAGAAATCTATCTTGAAGCTAAGTAATCAATAGTATACCAGTATTAGAAGGCTCTTAATGATGGGTAGAGATAAAGGGCATAAACTCCCCTCCAAGTTGATGACATATTTAAGATCATTTAAAAATAAAAATGGAGTAACTATGGTTCAGGCAGACAAAATGGAGCAAGGTAACTACTGTGGATGTTATCTTAGACATTCCTACATCACTGAGAACTTGAACTTTCTGAACTGTATCAAACTCAAGGACCACACCAGCCATTTTCAAAACAGTATCTGCTAGGGGGATGGGTATAGCTCAAGTGGTAGAGTGCATGCTTAGCAAGCACGAGGTCCTAGGTTCAATCCCCAGTACCTCCTCTAAACATAAATAAGTGAATAAACCTAATTACCTCCCCCTCATTAAAAACAGTTATCTGCTAGCAACTGCTAGCTGCAATCTGATAGTTTCAAACTCCCCACCCCACTTCACAACTATGTAATCATTATCATTTCAAACTCCAACCTTGCTTAACAACCACCCTTACTTCTTACTAGCTCCATTTGTAATTCTTGACAAACAACTTAAGTAACTAACTGTGGCCTTGCAGATTTTAACTTTATAAGGTTCTTCCATTTTATAGTCTGGTGGAACACAATTTAGGTGCTTTCTTGGATTCGTACTTCCTCTGCTGCAATCTTAACAAACCCCAAATAAAAGCTTTTTTTTTTCCTTTTTCTAGCTTTAACCAAGTCTCCATTCTTGGAATTCTTGGGTAACAAAGTAAATAGAAATTGGAGTTCAGAGATATTATGTATATATACTCAACTAGGGAGTACATTTTCTAGTTAATAACCAGTATCATAATACGCATCATTTTATAGTAATACCCTGAACCTTAACATTATACATCAGATTTGCAAAATCCAGGAGTTGAGTAGTGGAGACATAAAAGCTCATTAAGACACAGTTTCTAGATACAATCAGGATACAAAGTTAAATTTGAATTTCAGATAAATAGCACATAAATTTTAGTATAAGTATGTCCTTAACTCTCTGGCTGAGCCAGCTGTCCCAGCCACTCTGGCTGCTATGTTAATGTATGCACTCTTTCCATTGCTTCCCATTTCTACACAGCCATCCCCAATTCCTGACACTGGGGCTCAGGAAGTGGCTGGACTGACTTCCTTTCCTTATAGGGATCAATTTTAAAATCCTATGTTAGTTACTGGGGCACAGAGACCTGGTGTGGTATTGCCATCTAAGACCTGACAGGGCACCTAGTTTGAACCAGGAACCAATCTGGGCACAGGACAATTTCTTCTACATTATCCCATAGGGGACCTAAATTCAAATAGCCAGTAGTATGGGTTTAACAAAATTAAAGAAATCCAGCAAAAAACATATAAAGACCACCTTTGAATTTTTGGAAAGGATTTATCAGGTCTACAGCAGATTCCAAGGCCCCTGAGAATGCTAGAATGGTGAATATGATAAAACTGCAAAAATTAGATGATGTATTTGAAATAAATCCTTCTCAATTGGTAGATGTTGCTCTTAAAGTGTTAAACAACAGGAAAACACTCATTCTGGAAACTCATCCCTTTACCCAAGGTTGCCCTTATATCCTTCATCATTACCTCACTCAGCTCATGTTTTTGCTTCCCTGATCCTACACTGTCCCTCTTTGTTTTAGAGAAGTTTAATTTACCAGCTGGGTATGTGGGACTTGTATTAGTGCCAAATTATTCTCTGCCATTTCTTCACCACCATTCAGCCTACTCAGTAATAAAATGCCACATCTAAATAAATGTCTTCTGATATTTAGAAACTTAATCAGGTTGCTTTTGAGAGAACAGATTTTTATATTGGTATCAGCAACTTCCACTAACTTATTTTCTATGATGTGCTATTCTATCCTTCCACTTTTTTTTTCCCCAAGGAGGCTGGAAATATCATTAGTACGATCCTTGGATATCATGCTTTGTTGGACTTGCTGGCATCTTTGGTATTTGAAAAGTATCATGTACATATTGGAGTAAAATGTGTGTTTGTATCAAGAATATTTGTCTCAGGAGAAATTACAGTTCTCTTTGTTGTATTGGACCAAGTTCTAAAAGGACCAGCATTTATTGCTATGTATTTTCTAATGAGAATAACTGATTCAATGCCTTTTGCTGCAGCAATAACTTCATCTTCTTCTATCCTTACAGAGGCATTCCCAAATAATGTGGCTACAGTATTGGGAAGTCTTGACACTTTTTCTGGACTAGGACTAATGCTAGGGCTTCCTTTAGGTGGCTTCTTGTATCAATTCTTTGCCTATGCAGTGCCTTTTATTTTTCTGGGATACATAGTTCTACCCATCAATGTGTACATTATACATAATTATGAGTCTGATTCAGGAAAACAATTAAATAGGACAGGAGCCTCTCATATGGTAAAAAGAGAGGAACATTCTGATGAATGAAGAGGCCCAGGAGCTCCCTTGGACTTGAGGCACCCAATTCCAATTTTCCCACAGGAGTCCTGAGTAACTTTAACAGTAGGGGGCAAGTGGTATGGGAATCCGAGAAAGGCTGCCTCTTTGGTATTTCAACTGGTATTGTGTACTGCTATCAACTCTTTGGGGAAAAAATGGCCAAAATGAAGCCCTGTGAAAATTTGCTGTCTCTGGTCCTTCAAACACTTGAAAAATAGTGATGACATTTAAAGAAAATAAAGTTGAATTACAGGTCTTGCTATTGCCATTAAAAACAATCTAAACAGAAGATTTGGTTTTACCTAGGTGTGTACTTGAATATTCTGTACCTGAGGAATTCTTGGGTAACAAAGTAAACAGAAATTGGTGTTCAGAGATATTCTGTACCTGAGGCATCTGACCACTGTCACTGTGCCAAACAAAAGAGAAGTTGCAGTGAATGGTTACTCAGCATGCACCACTTACAGAGTTTAGTTTCATCTCTGCATACAGGGTTTTTTTCTAATCTTTTTACATATTTAGTGGTTATGACCCAATGGGTCACAAGTTAATTTAACCATAAGTTTAGTCTAAATAAAATATGCAACGTTACTTAAATTTTGAAAGCAAATTTTAACTATTTACAGGATTGTTTAAATTCCAGTTTTCCAGACATGTGAGCTTTCTCTTCACTCATCTTGCAGATGCATATTAAGGACTTAGTGTTAGGATCTACATATTTGGGGCACTAAAAGACAAATGACTTACAAATATGTTTCACTCATATTTTGTTCTAGGACTGGCACTGCTATCAATGGGAAGTATTTGTAACCAATCTATTATTGAGTTATTAATCATATTTTTGCATTTCAGCCAAAATAAAGACTATAGCTAATATTCTGTAAGATACAGCTAATCTTAAAACCTGAAATTCATGTGTTTCATATGATCTGAACAGTGTTTTCCAATTTAAATTAAAAATGCAATATAGATTCAGAAAGCTCCATATCGTTATATGCTTAT